GGGCTTGGAAACTCATTGCTTTGCCAATATAAAACATTCTGGGAGGATCCAAAGTAAATGCACATAATTAAGTAGAAGAAATAATATCAATTGTAATAGGATGTCAGTTGAAACCTACAGCTTAGGCAAAATCTGTGAAATAAATAAATTATTATTATTATTCCCTTACATATGTGCCAGTGTGAATTTAATTATGGAAGAGGTGTTTGTTAGTAATCTTCAACCTTCCTCGAAAAATTCTTTCAACTCATGACTCGACTCTCATCCAAAAAGTTTATTAAATTTCTGAATGAGGTAAGTGTTGACATGAAATAATATTTATAAGTAAGTATGGTGAGGGACATGTATTGAAAACAATTAGTAGTCGCAATTGTAACAATGAAAGTGATGTCGATCGTAATATCGATACAGAAGACAGTGTTTGTAAATTTATAAATAAGAAACTCAAAAGCCAGCAAGGCATTAAAAGAAATCAAATCAAAACTAGTACATACTACTACCAAAAGCAGCAAAACATATCTAACAAAGAAATATCTATTAACAAAAAAAACAAAAAAATATCTACTAAACAGAAATGTAAGATAACAATATTGACAGATTGCTCCGAAAAAATAGGCTATAGAAGAAAGACAACGTATTCGTAGCATAAAAAGAGGAAAAAGTACTACAATTGGAAGTTAAGAAGACCAAGATCCAGAAAACAAGAAAAGAAAATCTGCAAAAACAAATTCTGCAAAAACGTTTAATACAGTTGAAAAAAACTGACGAAAATAAAGATATATGTTTGGTATACTGTGTGAAAGATATGAACAAAGTCAAGAAGACTGTTGACAACGTATTGAATGTAAAAAACTCGTTCCAACTATGCAGATGATAACCCATTTTATATTCTTCATAGTTTGTCTGATTAAACTTTTAACTCAATGTTTTCTTTTTCATAATATTTAATATAATATATACTTTTATTATCTTAATCTTGTTATTTAAAGTTTTTACTGTCGTATAACTTTACGTTGAATAAGTATTGCTTTTTGAAAGATTTTGCTTTTTCAATGCTTTTTGAGTGATATTTTTGAATAATTTTAGTTTTTTTAATAATTGCTTTTTGAATGATTGACAAGAGTTAAAAATGATGTTTACGATTAACATCTGATACTGTTATCATTGGCACCACGTTGGTATCAGTTGTAACACAATTTCTCATGGTCTTTTCGCTCAGGTAACTTTTGAAACGTTGAATTTCATTAGTTAATCGGTTATTATAAAATTGAAGCTGTGTGTAAACTTGGTTCTTCTCCGATTAATAATGAAGAAGATACAACTGAAAGGTTGATTAACACCACTTTCCCCTATATTGGATCCTAAGCGGTGAAATAAATTATCCCAAACAAACGTGATTGTCGCTATCTCGCACGAGCGACCCGGTCACGCGCCGAAAGCGCGTCACTGTGATTGTGACTTCGAAATAATTAGCCCGCCTATTATTAGCGCGATAACGGCGCGTTCGTCTGAAAATCAGTAGTGACACTTGTTGACTTTGCGTTCGCAGTGGAAGATTTGTAATCGGACGAGCGTGACTTACATGTGATTGTATTTACTAACGGTGATATCGCGGCGACTATTAGCACGCGAGTATCACGAGATTGACGTTGTCACCCGATCTGTTCAATAGTACGTATCACGTGTTGCGTACCGCCACCTTCCACGTACTGCGCGCACGTTTCGGAGACGTCTTTTCCGCTGCTCCGATATTTACCAGTCGGCTTCGTCGAGTGTTAACCAAATTTCGTTTATAAATCATCCCGAAATACGCTCGCCGTGCGAGTAAGTGTTTCTTTCTCTTTTTTTTGGAATTCCGCGAGAGAATCGATTCCCCTTGATGGGAATATCTCGAGGAAGATCCATCCAAATTCTGTCTGGCGCGATTCGTAACGTCACTATCGTGAGATTATCGCGTTGAAGATAATGAAGTTCAAAGTTTCTTTTTCTTTTCTATCGTTCTTTCACAGAAAATAGGGTCTCAAAGTTGATTATTTGTAGACTGTTATCACGGGTAAAGGAAACTTCGGTCACTTTTTGGAATAATTTTATCTAGTATTATGTCTCGTGAAGTTCCATGCGTTTCACGTGCGTCATCGACGACACATTGAATGCTCGCGTTAAAAGGAGGTAACAGATAGACAATTTTTACAGAATGGAATTTTCTTCTTCACATTTTTTAAAGTATTAACTCGTTATTGTGTAGAAAGATTGGATCTACAGGATTTTTTTTCTTTTTTAGTTGTATTTTTATAATTTCTCAAACCTTTTAATATCTCTTATTCCAATTCTGTGGAATATTGAGATTTAATAATAGTTAACAGAAAAAGGTTCTTAAGATATTATAAAGATTTTGAAGAGAACCAAAAGGAATGCGTATAATCTCTCAAATCACATTTTCCTGGGAAAATATAAAAATGCAGTACAAAATTTCACTGTATGATCGAAAGGAGGAAAACCAAAAATATTTTAATAAAAAAATTTTATAAAAATTAAGCTCTCTTATGTCTCATTTTACAATATTTTTTATAGAAAACTAGACTATACCGAAAGAGACGCTATATAACAATATACTAACTATATATATATATATATATATATATATATATATACACACACATAGACATACTGACATCATATAAATTACTACAGAAAAGAAAAGAAAAAATTTGACGATTTACCGAACATACGATCTCTATAAAAAAAGACATGTAAGAGATTTAATTATTGCCGTTTTTCTGTAATGCTGATTGATTCTCTCGCCTAGCTCACTTCATATGGGCTGCGGCTTGTTTCGTATCGTTTGCGCCTTTCAAATTACCAGACAAATAGCTGTCATCGCGTTAATTAGGTCACGAAAAAAAAATACAGAAGAGATATGTCTCTTCCTGACTCTTCCTGTCTCTCCCTGCTTCTTTTGCCTCTCCAGTCTCTTTCTGTCTCTCCTTGTTCCTCTGTGTCTCTCCCTAACTCTCCCTATCTCTCCCTATCTCTCCCTGTCTCTCCCCGTCTCTCCCTGTCTCTCCCTGTCTTTTCCTGTCTCTTCTCGTTTCTCCCCGTCTCTCCCTGTCTCTCCCTGTCTCTCCCTATCTTCCCCCGTCTCTCCCTGTCTCTTCCTGTCTCTCCCCGTCTCTCCCTGTCTCTCCCTATAATTATTAATTAATTAAAGTTATTTTAATTTAATTTAATTTTTATTTTATTTTTATTTTACATTTTTTATTGTTTTTTATTAGCTATATGGCGCGCACATAGCGCACGCATGTATTCTTCTGGTATAAAAAAATTCTGGTATAAAAAATAAAACGTAATCACAGCAATTTTGTAGTAAAAAGTCAAAAATTTTAAAACAAATAATATAATATTAATGTCACATTTTTCTATATAACTCAATATTACAAAATTTTGTTGTAATTTTTATTATAGCATTTCCCCGTGCATTGAATATTAAACACCTATTGAATGCCTAAGTAAAATATTGAACGACTCAAATAAAAAATGCCACGCCTGTCATCGGCGATCTTGAACGTTGAAAGTCATATGAAGTTATGAACAAAACATATTCATAAAGATAGAATCAAAATTCACTTGATATTTAAATTTCTTAAATAATATTCTCGACAACTCTCTCATCACGACGACCCACGTGGCACCGAATGCGCTAATCGACGCGAGATTTATCCGACCATTTGATCGAATTAGATCATTCTCCTCCCAATCGCAAGCGAGCGATTGCGCACAGAGATGTATCGACGGTCTCCGTTGCCAAACCTTGTTCCCGACCCGCCAGTATCACTCGTTTGTACGCTCAAGGTCGCTTTCCTTCGCGCGACACTAAAAATAGTGACTCTAATAGCACTATGAACAGTTCTCGTTCACGTTGGCCTAGTCGTAGAAAATGTTCTACACAAAAGAAAATTAGTATTCACTTACAGCTAATCATTAACAATCATTATTTTGCATATAATCAACGATTATTTTGTTAGAAGAATTTTTAAATTTTGAATTTCAACGATGTTATAATTTTAGATGTTATAATTTAGATGTTATAATAGTCCTATAAGAAGTACGATATGATTATTTTTATGATAATAATATTCTTCTTTCGATAGAAGGTTTGAAAATATCATACTCTTAATCTAATATTTTGTGCTTTTCATTCATAAAAATTCTTTTTGAATAGAAATATATTTTCCTTTGTTGAATCATAGAGAAAATAAATGGATGATCCAATTAAGATTATAGTTATTTTTGGCCCCAACCATAATTTTTAGTTGTTCTAACATGAAAATGCTAGATAATAACATGCATATGAGGTTATTATCGCTAACATTGCAGTAGAATTTAATAAAACAATAGTTTTGGTGACCATAATTTATAGTAATTATTTTTCTGTATGGTTATTGTTACAAATGCCAGACAAACATTTTTTCTCGGTATATAAGATGTATTGATACAACAAGAGTAACTTATTTTCGTTTAACGCTATAGAATCTTATTTTAAGATTTGTCAAAAATAAAGAGATTTTCCAAACAAAAATATTCTTTTCTTTGCATAGTCTTCCGACAGCTGTCGAGCGCGCAATGCTTGTACTCCATTTATGCTTTATTGAGACGCGAGTCTTACGCTGTGCAACTTACAAATTGGAAAAATATAGATTTCAGCGTGATCGACGCGCTGATTAGGGTGTCCGGGGTGCGCGGCGAATTTGTTCTTCTCTCTTTTCTTTTGCTCCTTTTTCCATTCTGACCGGAGGGAATCACAATGTCGGATCGACTGGAGCTTCGGAGTATGTGTGGGATGTGCAGAATGTGAAGCTCGTTTTCGTATTATGTAAGCATTACATCTAACTTCGTTGAAGTATAGATAAATAACGAGATGACGCACGCAAAGCGCGTGAGAAGTGGGGTGTCGAACGGGGAGGGAGATACCATTGGTCAGGCACGCGTGCGCATTTTCCTACCTTTTATCCCCGCCGACTTATTCTGCTGTATATATGACGTCACTAGTATAGGTCGCGACACTCTGCTTTCAGTTACACTCGCAGTGATCGAGGAATCGTGACGTCGTCTAGGAATTCAGGTACGATCGAGAGAGAGACGCGATTATCGTACAAAGTTTTCCTTTTTTTCTCTTGCTGCTTTTTCTTTTTTTTTTTCATTATTGCCTCGATTCCACGGCAAAACGGCATTCACATCGATGGAGAAGCTAATCAATCCGTATGATATTTGTACAGATTTGTCATATATACAGACAGTGTATATATATATATACATATATATAGACGCACACACATAGGATATCTCAGTTCTCGTATCTTTAATTTACATTGATAGTTTCTCCGAGCAATTTAATTTTTCCTCAGTGAAAATACTGAGGCATCAATAGTTTCTGAGATACAAGTAATCAAAAAAGTGGATCTTCTCGCAAAAACATTAAACTTTAAACGACCAAATAGAGACAACAAAATTTTCCTCTGTTTCAAGTCAACTTAAATTTTTTTGGCCTTAGGAATATATGTTATGTTAAATATATATATTATATTATGTCTCGTGGAAGAATTAATCCTAAATTGCTCAGAAAATTTGTTGGCATAAAATAAACTCAGCAAGAAACAAAAGTGGTAGACAGTTACATGCATATATATATATATATATATATATATATATATATATATATATATATATATATATATATATA